CTAGCACTAAAGTGCTATGCAAAATAGGCCTACCCAGTGGCTCCCTCTGCAGAGGCTTCCTCTGCAGTGGCCTTGCACTTGTGTTTCACTTAAAAATTAGCCAACAGCAGAAAACTGAAAACAGCACATTTCCCCTCTAGGCCTCACTCTATTATTGTCACAATAGATGGGGTTTGCTACGTGACTGTTAAGATTCTTTGCAAATCTAATTTCTACAATCAAGGAGTCTTTAGCATTGTCAATATGTTCCATGAAACAGTACAGATATTTTAGGTGTGCCTATTAGATGAGGCATGTGGCATCATTGTATAGCTTCAGAAATAGGATCTCAGCTTTGTTAGACCAGACTTCAATTTGACCCCAGGCAGTCAGAGGATGAGAGAGAGTAAGGACAACTAGGCCTCAAAAAGGTCATGTGACTTTTTTAAAAAAATGACTGGCCTATTTGGTTCCTTTTGAAAGTTCCACTTAAAGTATTAATTTTAAGCATGGTTGAAGCTTTTCTAATAGCTCATCATTAATATTACATTACTATATTAAAAAGTATATTAAATTATTTTGTGACTAATCTCTTTGTTTTGTAAACTCAGTGACAAAATTATCCTATGTTTATGTGTGTTTCCATGTATAGTGATGTTCTTTATTTCCTGTAGCACTCAAATATTTCTTTGAAATAATTCCATTTTCTGGATATATTTTCAGCTTAAGTTTCTAATGAACTGAAAGCCCAAAAAGCAAGGTACTTAAACATCTAAAACTTTTGAAACTATATGTTAGCCAATATTTAATGTTTATAAAATTAAGGCACTTTACCTCTCAAAATATAGGTATTAATAAAAATTAAATAGAATAAACTAAAAGTGAGCTCAAGAACATGGCTGATTAAAAAGGTAAAACTGAAGAAATAGTTAATTTATCCATAAGTAAATCTTCTTAATATGCTTCAATCAATTAGAAGGGTAGGCAATGAAGAAGGTAAAAAGTCATTTATTTAGTGCACAGTTCTTTCTACAGGAGGGCCTGTTTTCACTAAATTTTGAAATGTTTCCGTTATTAAGCATAAATACCATATTCTAACTGCTTTTCCTTTTATTTAGAGAATAATTCCAAAGACTAATTCACATAACATGCATATTATAACTAGAAATATTAGAGATAGGTTGAAAATCCAAGTATAAATATAGTCATCAGTTGAATCGCTTTATTCACCTCTATCACCTAATATTATACAAATGAGATACAAATTTCCTCTCCTATTCTTAGTCCTCAAAAATAACAACAACAACAACAAAATCTTATGTGCATGTGGGAGTGGCAAAGGCATGAGAACTGTCAGTGAATGATAACAAAGCATTAAGCATTTAAGAGTGTTAGGTAATGATTATGTGAATTACTGTGAGATACAGCAGCACTAAATATGTTATTTTTATCCTAATGTTTCTTCCCTAGTGAGTATCTTTAGGGTGTTTTTATACAATGATGATGTTAACTAAATTATCTCAAAGGTTTTATTGTTTAAATAATTTTCTGTAACTTTTAATTCCAAATAGGAAAGTGACCGATGGAGAAAATATGAATTGCTATTAATTTTCAGTTACATGATTTCAAAGTATGTGGATTTTGAAAAAAAATTACTAATAAAATAATGGCTTATTTGGGGGTGTGTCACCATCACTTAGAAAATTCTAAGGTAAGATGAAAAGCATGAATGATTTAAAAAAATTGATTTTCTAAAGTATTAGCCTAAATAAAATATTCAATGTAATACATCTATATACATTTCTATATTATTTTTAAATGCAAGGGTTAAAAGGATGCAATTATAAGTAAGGTTAAAAATACTTTATAGTTGCAAGTCAATTGTCAGTATAAAATTCTTTAAAATCTAGCTCCTTGGAAAACCTTGCATTTATTATAGATGACATATGAATTAGTTATGAATTCGCAAAGTTTATGCTTGGCATATTGAATTTAGATTAAAAAATGGATTGGAGATTGTTGAATGGTAGAATGCCAGCTTAAAGATGAATGTTTTAGATGACATATTATGAAAATTCAATGCATATGTTTTAGGGGATCGATGAGAAATCAATGAAATAATTTTAAATGATCTACATATCTATTTCTAGCATAATATGCTAGATTATTTCAGTGCCAACTCATAATTATGGATGACAGAATATAATACAGTAGACAGCATGTGTAAAAGGCAGTACTGTAAATCTGTTTTAGTTAACTTTGAGAAGGAAGTCCCTACAGTGCCTGTGAAATTAGATTAAATAAAAATTATATTACTTTATTGACTATTATTTTCCTAAATAGGCATTTTAGAGGCACTATAGCTCTAAAAAATGGCTATGTTGGACCTAAACTCTAAATATTTGTTTGCAGAAAATAATTAAATTCTTACAATTTTTGTTTTACTCCAGAGGATGAGATTTCTAACCCTTGTATATCAGAATCATTGAAATAGAATTTGTTTGAAATTATTTGGAAACTACTTGTCTTCAGATATGTATCAAAGAAATTTGTAGGAAGTATTTACCTTATACTCTGGAAAACAGCATAAACTGATCTAGAATGAAAACTTTATTAAATAATTTAGTATATATGGGTGCCACATTGTTTTCAACTGTGAAGCCTTATCCATCCAACCAAAATAGTGTACATGTACATCTGTATTTTCCCTAAGACTGTAGACCTGACAAAATGTACAAGGCAAAAAAAAATCAATTATTTGTTCTTAGAAGGTACCTTGAGTTATTTTTGAAGTAAGACAACATATAAACACATAAGTAAATAAAATAATGATGTTTTAGTACAGATAGTCAAAATACAGTCAATGGTATCTTTAGTTTAAAAAGATAATTATCATGTCTAGCAAAATATAAACTTGGTAATTATTTTCAAAATCCAGAACCAATGGTCCATGCTTATTTCACTTGTGTATATAAATAACAGTTAATATATCACAATAAGTAAGAAAATGGAGATACTAGAATACTGTGCATGCAAGCCACTGCATCGTTACATTACATTGCAATGCAGAAGAAGGCACATGAAATGCATTAAAGCAACCCCGTATCATCCATCTCTCTCAACAAATCACATACGTTCAGGAATATTTCGGTATGTCTTCATAACCTTCCAGGACTAAGGCAATGACATCGTACACGGGAAAAGCAACTTTCGATCAAAACGCTTGCATGCCATGCGCCCACGCACGCGCACCCAGCACGGGGCGAGGCGGCCGTGACCAGGTGCAGCGCGTGTGCCCCGCGGCCTGCGACAGTGTGCGGTGGGGAAGCCTGCCCAGGACGGCGAATGCTATTCCCTCACGGCAGACAGAAGGTTCGCCTGAACCTTCCCGGAGAAAAAAGTAAGGTATCAAAGGTTTCTACAAGGCCTAAGCCAATGCTGAAGCAAGTTAAATCTTTTCTAGGAATAATATTTACACCAGTACAAGGTGCCGTGTTGTGACAAACTTTCCATGATAATATGTTGCATATTCTGTCAAGTTAGAGTTCCAAAAAAAATTCAGGTAAACAAGTAGTACTCATGAAAAGAAAGGGGACAGGGTCAACTTTTAGACATATTTTTATTATGTTGATTTAAAGATTTAGATTGATCAGACTGTTTTTAAACATAGGCGTTGTGTTTTTAAAATGACAAAATCGGTCAACCCAGAGAGTTATTAGATTGAGGAAAATAGTCTTTAAAAAGTTAAAATGATTAACCCAATGATTTCACCATGATTATTATAAAAATAAATGCTCTGCATTTAATTTACAATAAATGTATTTGCAAATCATTTTGGTTTGTTTTTTTAAATAAGTCGGTATTGACTGTTACTCTGATTTTTCATCAGAGTTCTTTTTGCACTGTTTTGTAAAGCAATATTTATCTTTTCTACTAAAGTTTCTATAAGCATTAACTGTTTAGTTACTGGAAATTTAAATATATACCTCTTCCAAAGAGGCTACCATATGTGATTACTCAAATTCAATGCAACTAAAAATGTTTCAAATTTACAGTTAAGATAATAAAGTAAAGGTAACTGGATCATGTGAAACTTTATTTTTAGGGATAAAAAATGAAACAGAAGGGGTTAGCTATGTTGAGAACAAATATGCAATTTTAGTAGGAAAGAGAAAGAGCTGAGTGATTTTATAAGAAAACTTAAGTGCTTTAAAATAATACCAGGTCTAGATATCTGCTATAAAATTGAGATAACTTTAATATTCATCTAATATTATATCTCTTGTCTATTCATCTAACATCACATCTATTCTTAACTGAGGCATGCGGTAGAATCACCTGTGGAAATTTTTTAAATATACTTTTTCCCAGAAATTTTAGCTTAGTAGACTGGACGATTTGCATATGATTTCCTAAGCTAAATTCTTGACTTTAGTAGGTTTAAATTCAATCACTGAATTCAGACATATGTCCTTGTGATCTCTTTCTAATCAAACATTTCAAAGGATTACACTATCAAAAACAAAATTATTCATTTACTATAAAGAATCTTAACATTCAGAACAGGTCCTAAAGATACATAGGCTGGACAAAGCTTTTTATTTTTGCCTTATTTTTAGATTTCTATTTTCTGGCAAGAGGGGCTGCTTTTAGGACTTTTTGTATAAATAAATTTCCCACTTATTTTGAAACTAATTTTTTCAAATCACTCTTCTACGGAGACTATAAGGTATATGTAATATTCTGGTTTAATAGATATTAAAATATTTTTTGACTGATCAAATAACTTGGCTAATAAGATGAAGGAGAATATTTAAATATCATTTTACTGAGTGAGGGAAGAAAAACAGAGTTGTTAGAAAAAGACAGTATTCTTAGCTGAAGGGAGATAGTACTTGTTTGACTTTATATATGCAAGGAGCTGTATTTCCCCACCAAACACTGTCTGGGTGCAAAATATGCTCTCTGCTTTTTCACTGATGACCACATTCCTCTACTTAGAGTTAAGAAAGTGAATTTACCGTGTCTGAGAAACGGTAAAACTTCTCCAATGCAAAAGCTTCTGTCTGTGGGAAGGCAAAGTAGACCAAGAGGAATTGAGAAACCAAAGAATCAAGGCATACATGATTAAATATAATTGCATATACCATTTTAACAATCATGTATCAATTAATAGATTTTCACATATGCAGAGTATCCACTCCCCAAAGTATGAAATGAACTAAAAAAAACACCCATATATTTTAGCATTTTTTTCTTGCACTAAAACTTAATTACAATATTTGCTCCATGTATATTTCAAATAGTGATTAGAAAATAATAAGATATTACTATTTTTGCATTTCTGCATTTTCCTAGAGTGCCAATCACTAGAAAAATTACTCTTGCTGTCTTTCGTTGAGCTAACGAAGGAGTGTCAAACATTTGTATCCCGATATTCTTACAGGTGGTAAAACTGAACAGAGTTGCTTTAGTAAGGATAATTTCTTTTTAAAGGAGAAACCAGAATTGAGTAAGTAAACCTGTAGTCTGTTATGTTATCCACTGGATACAGTGACTGTTGGATGTGCGGTGGGAATAGAAAATGTTTGAGCTCTCAGCCCCCATTTTGGACACTACATGTGTAACACCTCTCATTTCTAGTGTTTGCAGCACATGGTTGATAAATTTTAAATTGTAGAAAGGAGAAAGGTAGGGAAAGGGAAAGTAAATGTGAAAAAGCAAACCAAAATGAGAGGGGGAAATAAGCATTGCCTTACTTATGATTAATGAGATTAGAAGGAAAAATTGTCTTCATCAGTCATTAAGGGGAAAGACAAGAGCTTCAGCCTTGTGATGCAGAATTTTTTTGACCTGTTATAGTGTTTCAGCCAATCCCAGGTCTCAAGAGAGAAAGGGGGAGCAAACAGGTAGCAAGGGAAGCAGAAAGAAGGAGAGGAAAAGAGAAAAAGGGAGAGTGAGGAAGAACAAGAAAAGTATAAGAAAACAAGCTGACAGGGTGAGGTCAGGGGAAGGAGATTAAAAAAAAATAATCTCCCATCCTAATATGTTTTAATGTACAAATTATATTCTTTTCATAAAAATTTTGATCAAATACAAGATCTAGCATTGTTTTTTATCTGATGCATTACCCAGAGTATCTCAATGCTGATGTTTCTTCCATGCTACACTGCACTGGGTATTTACTGGAGCAGGTGATGATTCTGGGGAGTCAATTAGACATGACTGAGTAAGTTATTGCTTTAGAAAATTATTAATACAGAGTAGGCTCAGCACTGAGAGATCATGGCTTAGTGCTTTAAAAAGGTTTTATGAATCTATAAATCATAGTCAATAATTCAGAAACCAGAAGGAATCCTTAAAAAAATCAAATCCTTAAAAATGCACATTATATGAACTTTGATATTTTTCTATTGTTTAAGAATTCATTTACTTTCAAAATATCAGCTGGCACATTCATATTAAAAGAAGTAAAGTCATAGATATGCTGGTCAATAGAAACTCTTCCTTACAGAAAAGGAAAGGGGTTGATTAAAACTCTGCACATGTAAAAAGATGGCATAACAAGTCTTAATAGAGAGGAACAATCCCATTCTGTACATACAAATCCAATTAAGAGATAACTTCTACAACTTCCTGTGGTCTCCCAAAGGTGTTCTACATAACACTTCTTCTGGGTTTCATCTATCAAGTGATAAATAAAAATAACACCTTATTGTGTTTTCCATGGGAATTTTTAACATCATTAAAATGTTCATATTACCAAAAGCAATCTATAGATTGAATGAAATTCCTATTAAAATACCAACAGCATATTTCACAGAACTAGAACAAATATTCCAAACATTAAAATGGAACCAAAAAAGACCCTGACTAGCCACAGCAGTCTTGAGAAAGAACAGAGTTGGAGGGATCACCTTACCAGATATCAAACTATACTCTGTAATCAAAACAGCCTGGTATTAGTACAACAGACATACAGGTCAATGGAACAGAACAGAGAACCCCAGAAATCAAGCCACGCCATTATGGTCAATTAATATTTGACAAAGGAGGCACGAACATACAATGGAGTAAAGACAGTATCTTCAATAAATAGTTTTGGGAAAATTGGACAGGTACATGCAGAAAAAAGTGAAACTAGACCACCAACTTACTCCATATACAAGAATAAATTCAAAATGGATAAAAAACTTAAATGTAAGTCACAAAACCATAAAAATCCTGGAATAAAATATAGGCAGTAATACTAGTCACAGACATCTCATGTAGTGGAATTTTCACCAATACATCTCCTAGGACAAGAGAAACAAAGGAAAAAATAAACAAATGGGAGTACATCAAACTAAAAAGTTTCTGCACAGCAAAAGAAATCAGCCTCAAAATACAAAGGGACCCCACACAATATGCGTGAATATATTTGCCTAGGATACATCTGATAAGGGGCTAATTCCAATATATACAAAGAAATCATATAACTCAACAAGAGGAAGACAAACAACCCAATTTAAAAATGTTCAATCTGAGGCTCTCCATGGAATCTAAAGAACTTAATAAACTGACGAACAGAATAGATTCAATGACATNAACTCAACAAGAGGAAGACAAACAACCCAATTTAAAAATGTTCAATCTGAGGCTCTCCATGGAATCTAAAGAACTTAATAAACTGACGAACAGAATAGATTCAATGACATGGAAACATGGATCAGACTGACGAATGTAAGAGGGATGGAGAAGGGCGGGTGGGTGGAGGGGGAGAGAGCAACCAAAGAACTTATATGCAGATATGCACAACCCAAGGACATGGGCAATGGTAGGGAGAGGGACTGGGGAGGGGGGTAGGATGGGGTGGAATGGGCCATTGGGGAGATAAAGGGACATTTGTAATATTTTAAATAGAAATAAATAAATTAAATAAATAAATAAATAAGAAAAGAAATGGTCAAAGGACCTGAATAAGCACTTCTCCAAAGAGGACATGCAGATGGCCAAGAGACATATGAAAAACTGCTCGTTGCTAATCATCAGAGAGATGCAAATTAAAACCACAACGAGGTATCACTTCACACCTGTCAGAATGGCTCCATCAACAAATCCACAAACAACTCGTGCTGGCAAGGGTGTGGAGAAGGGGAACCCTAGTACACTGCTGGTGGGAGTGCAGACTGGGGCAGCCACTATGGAAAACAGTATGGAAGTTCCTCAAAAACTTAAAAATGGAACTGCCTTTGACCCAGTGATTCCACTCCTAGGGGTATATCCTAAGAACCCCAAAACACCAATCAAAAAGAATATATGCACCCCTATGTTCATAGCATCACTATTTACAATAGCTAAGATTTGGAAACAGCCCAAGTGCCCATCAGTAGATGAGGGGATAAAAAAGCTGTGGGACATTTACACCGTGGAATACTACGCAGCTATAAAGAAGAAGGATCTCATGCTCTTCGGAACAGCATGGATGGACCTGGAGAAGAAATGTCTTTAAAACATGAGAGTATGCACCAAAAAACCCCACTTAGTTTCACATGAACATCAAAGTGTTAATAAAAAAGTAACATTTGATGTAAACAAAGGAATTAGTTCAGAAAAAGGAACAACTTTAGTAGCTATATTTGGTGACTATATCAAGTAAAACATCAAAAACATTCTAACATTACAAATAAAAAATGATCATTTTTGTTAATGAAAGCAAAAATTGTGTCATTCTAGGAAATACACAAGAAAGATGTTGAGAAAGCGCTCATGTCAGCAGTATAGCTAAGATGTCTCCAATTTCTTCCTGAAGCTATTTTTGACAATTTGAGTTTCAGTTGGACAAAACCAAAGGAATATCATATCATTTAGTCCCCAGCCCCTTCTTTGCACCTGCTATTAAATATAACAAAGTCACTTTTTAATGAAAGTCGGTTTCCCAGTGAACCTGATGCATTTAATTGCTTACCTTATTCTTTCTCTTTCGTCGAAATCTCAGAAGTTCTTTGTGTTGTCTTGAAACAAAATTTACAGCTGCATATTCCAGAAGTGCTGAAAACACAAAAAGGAGGCATACTGCCATCCAAATGTCAATAGCTTTGACATATGATACCTAACCAAGAGAGAAAGAGAGAGCATATTGACTTGTATTGTTACTTTCATTGAGAATAAAACTGATTGGCTCACTATTTGTGGGAAACTTATGGTGGAGAGAGAAGCAAATCCAGTAAAGGAACACCTCTTTGCCACCTTTCCCAGCTGGCTCTTCAGGTTTCAGGCTAGATTTTGCCCAAGACTGTTCAAAATCCCATGGCACCTGAGCTTACCTAAATACATTGCACTGTAATTGCTTATTTCTTATTCTATTTCTATTTAAACTGTAAATTCTTTGAGGGCAGATGGCATGTCGGTTTTGTTTGCCATGACAAGAGTATTTGGCATGTGTCTGCATATTTGCTGAGTGAATGGACAGATAAATGAAGGCATAAAATGTTAAAATTCAGGAGAAGAATAAATCATAGGTGATGATTCATCTGAAGATTCACTTTCTGGAGTAATGCTTTTTTAAAACCTTGGATTGGATCAATTTCCTTTCAAAAAGAGGTCATTTCTTGACACTTCCAATGGCATCAATTTACATATGAAAAATGCTAACAAAAGAGCTCTCTGCATTGTTGCCTGTATCTTAAGCATGATTTCTGCTGATCCGAATGACCTCTACTGAGCAAAGAGAAGTATGCCCTCATTTTATTCGAGTGCTATGCTAAATGCCCATTTGTTTGTAAAGTATAAATTTAAATATTGTATAAATTTAAATATCATAAGTTCTGCAGTTATGCCAGGCATTTCTGGTTGCCTTCAAATACATATATTCCTGGAAGATGTAATTCTGCTTTCAAAGGCCCTGTCTCAAGCTCTACAATTCCTGGAAGGATATGAGTTATAAAGTACGTGTGCATTCTTTACCAACCTGAATGTATAACGTCATGAAAGAAAGAGATTAAATCAGAAATTTAATTTCCAAATTAATCCAAGCAATGTTTTCAATGACAACAGATATTTGCAAACATCCTTTGTATCTGCCAGAGTTCTGCTCATTTCAAAGAGCTCCCAATTGTTGAGGCTTAAAAGCATGCTTTCCTCATTCTTACCTCTTACCCCATTCACCTGTTTTAACTCTTCCTCCTGCACCCTCACTGTCCCGACAAGTACAGCAAACTCTGGACTCTTGGTTTAGTAACTTTATTTTTTTTATTTTTATTTTTTTAATTTACTATCATGTAATTTTATTTTATTTTTAAATTTAGCTTTATTGTTGAAAGTTTTACAGATGTTCCCTTTTTTCCCC